TAGATAGATTATCTCCAGGAGGATCTGTCCCTCACCTGGCCTTCAGACCTTCCAACAGTGCCCCCAGCGCCACTGTAACTGAGTCCTTCCACCTTGCTGCTGGTCATCCTCTTCTTTTCTTTCCTTCCACCTTTCCCAGCATCAGAGTCTTCTCCAGAGAGCTGGGTCTTTGCATCACGTGTCCGAAGTAGGATATTTTGAGGCTGGTCATTGTGCAAGTGAGAACTCTAGGTTGCTGCCCTCCAACAGAGAATTGTTTCTCCCCCTTTCCAAATGAAATTAATAACTAACAGTAAAAAAAAAAAATTAAAAACCACAACACAACCATAATACTGGAGTTGAGTGGCCAACAAATTTAAATACATACATACATACAAACATAATGGTCCATGTCATGGTTAAGATTAATTGGGAAATGTTAATTTTTTTGGTGTACTCAGATGTGCAGCTTTGTATTACCGCCATTCCTAAAATTTCTGTTTATCGTTAATCTCTGATAATATTAGCTGGCATTATGTCTTTTCTCCTCCTCCAGCTATTTATTGGCACTTTGCTGTTCACCATCTTGCTGTTTCTGCTGCCCACAACTGCTTTGTACTACTTGGTTTTTACTCTGGTGAGTCTGCTTTTTCTGGAATTAATGGATTGTTAAGGTTTTTTTCCCCCCTATACTGTCACATTCAAAGCAATGTAAAAAATTGGAAGGATTGTTAAAAGCAAGGTATGACAACAGAATTAAATAGCCAGTTCAGATGATTGACAGAGGTGTGGAGTCCTTGAATTCAAAGGCAAAACGATGTCTTGAGGCACACAGGAGCACTCCTTTGCCACTTGTCTGCATCTCCTTTTAGGAATTGCATCTTTTTCTAGGTGGGTGTGGCTGGCCTCTGCATCCTGGGAAAAGGTGGATTTGATTTAAGGAGTTGCAGACGTGTGCTTTGTGCCCATCACTGTGCACTCAAAAGCACTTTTTTGTTTTCAAAATTGCTGCACAGTCCTATCATACATGCCCTTGCTTCTAATCCAGTATGCCCAGTGGGTAGGGTGTTGAGGTTATGGATAGGCTGCAGACAGATTCCAATCCCCAACTCGCTCAACTTTACGGGCAGCATCTGTTTGCAGGGCAGGATGCAAGATTTAGGGGTTCAAGAGAAAAACCCGAGTGCTGCTAGATGTCTCAACAGTACAGAACTGATGGAAACTTCATACTGTTGCTGGTTGTAGAACTTGCCGTGTTTCAGCCTAAGATGTTGTCCAGTGAATACTACCACCAAGATCTAACAGAAACAAATCTTTCCTTCTAGCTCCGTCTGCTGGTGGTACTTGTGCAAGGCGTAATCCATCTCCTGGTGGACCTCATAAACTCACTGCCCTTTTATTCTGTTGTTCTTCGGCTCTGTCGAGACTACAGACTGGCGTGTAAGCTCTACAAGTCTATATTGTTGTGGTATGGAGTAAATTGTGGGGTTGAAAATTTTGCCCAGTGTCCCATTCATGTTGGGTATATGTGCTTAAAATCGGAAATCAGTGGCACACAGATATACACTAACTGGACAGAGAATTCACTTGCTACTAGCTGGCAGGTAAGTCCTATAAATTCCAACTCACCAGAATAGCAAAAAAGAAGAAAAACATTCAAAATGTAGATTGCAAAAGAATCCAGAACTCACCGAACAGAAGTCTAAGTGATGGTTTTAGAGAATTCAATGTGGATTCCTTTTCTCTCCTTACATGGAGTGATTTTCTTTCTTCCTCTCCTGGCTAGAAGAAAGCACCATTTGTTAGTCCTCTGGCTTTGGACAATTTTAGTCCTGGTTTGTTGGGCAATTGTGTGCTATATTTTGTGTGTTCAAATAAAATGGCACACAGTGGCTTGAAGGTGATGCTAAGCCATAGTGTGACCGTTTGTTTATGATTTCAGTGTGGGAATGTGTGAACCAGGCCAGTATGGCTAACTCAGCAAATGGTAGTTTAAAAAAATCCTGATAGCCTATGATTTGCTGCAAATGCAGAACAGAAGGAGAAGATTTTGGCAAGGGAGGTGAGCAGGCCCAGGTATCACACCTAACCTTAAATGTGTCTGAAAAACTGAGTAAGTTGAGTTAACTGACCATAAGGTGGCATATAACCAAGGTTTGGAATATAAACTCATATAAACAAGCATGAATCCATTTAAACCTCCTGTAGAGTAAATGGGAAAGCTAGATTTTTGTCTCTATGTTCTCTCTTTTTAAAACCCAAATGTGGCCCTTTGGGCCCCTTTTAGAGAATTCCTCCAGCAAACGGCAGTGATCGGTCAATAAAGCCTGTTCCCTTCCTGCACCTGCTTTTGTTTCGTGTGTTTTCAGCTGGTGTCAAATTCAGAGTTCTGGAGCAGGAAGCTGGCAAACCTCTTCGACTTCTAATGCAGGTAAGTCCTCATACCTTTTCCTGGTTTCTTTGAGGGAATGTCCTCGCATTCAGGATCCTTGCAACTCCCTCCTACGCATCTACACATACACACATGCGTCAGTTGCTATTACTAGCGTCCTTCTGGGATCGAATGGAATAATCATGGAGGGGCTGCTGTGTTGTTTCCATTGAGTGGGGCTATCACAACTGGACTGTAAGACTTGACCTGATCACTAGGTGGAAGCAAAGAGCCAGCAATGGCTGTCTCTCTTTAGCGCCATCTAGTGGCCATTTGGATTTGAGCAGCCAGGATTAGTAGCTTTATCACTGAGTCAATCACTGAGTTACTGCAGAGTTTGGACCTCCTAACAAATACTAATGTCCATAGCATCTGCAGTTGCCTAGGAATAAAAACTGCACACGGAGGAGGCCTGGGTGGATGTTCCCAGAAGAACCCTCCCCAGTGTACTGTGTGTGCTTGGCTCAAAGCCAGAGGAGGTTGTCTGTTGGAGATCTGATGAATCCATAGAGATCCCGGTAGCAGTTCATTTAGTGCTTCTCTGGGAAGCTGTAGGCGGACACAACTGATGCAGCAAGCCAGGAAAAATATGGGTTTATTAAAAAGAGCCTCCTTATAGACCTAAAAATGCTTTGAGGAAAGTCCTTTTCTCAAAGGCAACTTCATGTTCATGAGAAGCTGCAGAAAGATGTTCTTCCAAATAGCCTACTCATTAGTGTTAAAATTAGGGTTAGGCATTGGTGCTTCTCCAAGGACCAGACAAACATGCCAGCCCATAGGTCTCTGTCTCTTAGCATTGCCTCCCACTTGGTTTCCTGGGTTCATATTGACCTTGAATCTTGCAAAAAAATTCCTCTTCCCTACTGCCAAAACAGCCCGTGGCCTTGTTCTCTCTCCTTTCCTGTACCTCAACATATTCCTAGTAGATGTTAATTTATTTTAAATGGTTCCCAGAGGGGCTACCTGTAATCCAGCTGCGCAGCCTAAAACTATCATGGTCAAATACTTGTTTCTCCCATTGCTGCTCTCGCTTATGTCTGGAACTGCCTTTCAGAATGCTTCCATCTCACCACCTTTGACTGTCTTAAATGCTTTCTTGACATCTCCCATATCCATGAAACCTTTGGAACAATCCCTTTATCTCAAATATATTTGATTAAGCATGTTACTGGAGCTAATGCAGATAATTCTCCTCTTACCTCTTATACATTGAGGGCACTATATTAGCAAGGATGTGTACACAGTAGGTGGGCCTGTCAACTTTAACAGATACTTCCTTTAAAAGCCTTCCACCAGGGTTTTTTTTTTCTGATCTGAAATTGTCTGGAAAGTAAATGTAAAAAACAGGCATCGGCTTTCAAACCTGATGTCTTTAAAAGAAACTGTATGTGTTTCTTTTCACTGCTGTTCCAAGGGCAATTGCTAGATTAATGCAGAGACAAAGAGGAGATTCTTTTTATTGGATCAAGCTTTCAACAGGCATTCTGTGAAATTGCACAGAAGTCATTTCCAGATTTCTGTGCAGTGTGACCAGTGTGCCAGTTGAAAGCCACTTCTTTGGATAGATTATTAGGCTACATGTGCTAGGAGAGGCAAGAAAAAATGGGTCTGACTGCATTATTTTGGATTGCGTTCAATCTGAATACAGTTTAGTTCTCAAATGCTAAGCTTATATGGAAGTGGTTTGCTGGATCAGAGCCAGAAGATATACCATATTGTGTGGGGACAGAGCTGCTAATAGAGTAAACTGACTTCTGTCGTATAGAAATGTTAACCTGCTGAGTGCCATGTCCTCAAGGAATAACTCTTTGGGCTGTTTCCAGTGGACTCCATCAATAAAAATCTCGCTCCTATCTCTGCCACACATACGCTCCCTTCCTTGTGGAGTTATAATAAGAGATTTACTTGGGTTACTATTTCTATTTGTGTGTTTTGTTTTATGATGTAATTTGGGCTTCTTTTTCTAAGAGTGGGAAGGCGGATCATCAAACTGTTAATTAAATCTATTAATTTAAAGGTTGTTTTGGGGGCAGATTCCAAAAGCAGAACATCTCTTTATGGGGAAGGCATAACCACAGCCATACCTCTTGATCAATGTGCATGAACTGCATTTGTGATTTTGTTGTACATCGTTTGTCTGAGTCCAGATTGACTCACTGTGAATGTCTTTCCTACATCTTCTCAACCTACCAGATCAACCCTCTCACTTATGGCCGCGTGGTACAGACGTATAGGCTTCCAACATACAGCTGCTACCCCAAGGACTCTTGGGCTTCTCTGTGCAAGAAGTTGTTCGTTGGAGAGCTCATTTACCCTTGGAAGCATAAGGAGGAGAAGCAAGACTGATGGGGGACAACCTAAGACACCTTGGAGAAACAGGCCACTTTTCATGCTAAGGCACCTTGGAAACAGCTCTTGCCAACTGGACCTTGTTTTTACTTCCTTTGCCAAGAACTTGAGGGTAGGAAGTTCCTATGGAGTCGATGAATTCCTCGCTCTCCTTCCACCACGAGCTGTTCTTTTCGATCATGTCATCTGATTTAACCTGGCATTAGAACTGCTTCTCTGGAAACATCAGAGTACAGAATCACCATAATAACCTGCTGCGCCTTGGAGAAAAGGGTTTGGGGCATGTTGTGATACTGCAAGGCACCCCCTGTGTGGTATCCAGCACACAGTTCCATTTCTGAAGAACCCGCACTTTCTCTGCACCAAGATGCCGTTTTCTGCAGCTCCTTTTGTGAAAATGTAGCTGAACGTCTACACCAGGGTTTCTCAACTC